CACAGCTCCCTACTGGACTCCTTTTACCCAATCACCAGGATTCTGTGGGAAACAGCAGTAGACAACTTGAGGTTACTTAGTCTCCAGTACTGGCAGGTTTTGAAAAAAGGCGGGGCTTTGGGAGCATGGCGAAAATCGCCATCACGCCATGGAAATACGTTTGCCTCTCATTTCTTCAGTTATCGTGATATCGCTACGAAACTTCTGGTGAGTGATCCTAGTCTGACCCCCAAGAGAAATAGACAGCTGAAGTTTGTGGGCGTGGCCTATTCTCTTAAATAGCGCCCCCTAGGACCATTTAAACTAATAGCCCCAAGCCATGCTTTGATTGAGGATTACGAAATTTGGTACACTAATGTGGTGTCTCAGGACCTACAAAAAAGCCTCTTGGAGCCAAGCGCAAAGTCGCACAGGAAGTCGGCCATTTTGGTCCAAGTACGCGATTTAGTGGTTTTCGCACACGTTGTTTGGAGAGTGATGCTCCGTCGCCCTTTTCACCAATCACTTTCAAACTTCTGCTGTATACTCTTAAGACGTAGGGTAAAAAATTCAACCGTCGGATTTTTCAAAAGTTGAAAGGTGTGGGCGTGGCTAAGCCTCAAACTTTGACCTTTCGCCATTACTTTACTTGACTTAATAACTCCCATGAGCATGATCAGATCTTTTTCAAACTTTGTCTGTGTGATAATTGACCATATCTGTAAAAAATGACAATGTGGACAGCTGACATCACCTAAGCCCCGCCCCCTGACTACAGGAATTCTATTTTTTTATGCTGAAATGCCCATATTTGTCCCCTCTAATTTAGTCAACAAGACACCAAGGTCATGCACTGTCTTCATGATGCTGTATTGACCATTCAGATCTGATAGCTTTCCAGAAAGGGAGGGGCTTTGATGCCTTGGTGAATTCTGGCGTAACGCCGTAACCTTACAAATCATTTTAATGGTGAGCTCAGAGGGGATGCTGAGTCAGGGTGAGGTGCGGACTAGGAGGCCATTCGCGGATTCTAGTGTCGGGGTGGTTGACGTTTCTGTTCTGCCAGACGTGCCTTGGTGCCCCGGGCTGCCGGTCAGGCCGGAGCGGCGCGGAGCTGCGAGGGCCGAACGACGCTGCTTGCAGCTTTAATTCTTCTTTCTTCTTTTTATTTATTATTCTTAGCCTGCTTTGAACGGCTTTTTGGGGACCTTAACATACCCCAAAACTCACAATATTTTGCACACTTGTCAGGCCTGGTGAAAAATTTGATATTTTAAAGGTCCCAAAAAAATCGCAAAGAAAATGGCTGAACAGCGCCCCCTACAAAATGAAAAAAAAACCCTCTCCATAAAGCTTAGTTTATCGTACAGTTTTGAAATTTGGTACACTTATAGTACTCAACAGTCCGCACAGAAAAGTCTCTTGCAAGCATGGTCAATATCAAACAGGAAGTCGGCCATTTTGGGTTGAAATGGCGATTTTTTGCAGTTTTGGCCGTTTTTAGGGTCCGTTTCTGATTGGATTGCTCGATCATTTTTTTCACGATCGTCTCAAAAATTGTGTCAAATTGCTCAGAAGAGATGGGCGAAAAAAATGAGACAATAAAATTGACTTTTCGTTAATACTGAAGGGGTGGGGCCAGGCCTCGAAGTTTGACTACTCGCCAAAAAAATTTAAATAGCTATATCTTCATAAATGAATGGAATAGAGTTACCAAACTTTCTATGGTCATTCGTCATCCACCCACAAAGTAAAGTGAATGGTCGGATGATGACGTCACACAAGCCCCGCCCCCTCAGGACCAAAAAGGTTAAGTTTTACTGTGAAAGGTCCCAAATTGCCCCATTTCATTTAATCACCACAAATTTGTAGCTGGTAACTGAAGACAAGTTGGGGTTGCTTGGCGTCACTTTATGGGAGTTTTCGGCAGAGGGCGGGGCTGTGGCGGTGCGGCGAAGTCAGGCGTACCGCCGTGGCCTTACGTTTGCCTCCCATTTCGTCAATTCTAAAGATATCGTCACGAAACTTCTTGTGAGTGATCCTAGTCCGGCCCATCAAAAGATCTGATGTGAACATCCGGTGGGCGTGGCCTATTTTTTGAAATAGCGCCCCCTAGGACCATTAAAACTGTCAGCCCCAAGCCACGCTTTGACTGAGGATTACGAAATTCGGTACACTAATGTGGTGTCTCAGGATCTACAAAAAAGTCTCTTGGAGCCAAGTGCAAAGTCGCACAGGAAGTCGGCCATTTTGGTCCAAGTGCGCAATTTAGTGGTTTCGCACACGTTGTTTGGAGAGTGATGCTCCGTCGCCCTTTTCACCAATCGCCTTCAAACTTCTGCTATATACTCTTAAGACATAGAGGAAAAAATTCAACCGTCGGATTTTAAATAAGTATAAAGGTGTGGGCGTGGCTAAGCCTCAAACTTTGACCTTTTGCCAGGCCACTCTTTTTTCACAGCTCCCTATTGGACTCCTTTTACCCAATCACAAGGAATCTCTGGTAAATAGCAGCAGACAAGTTGAGGTCACTTGGTCTCCAGTACTGGAAGGTTTTGAAAAAAGTTGGGGCTTTGGGAGCATGGCGAAATTCGCCATCACGCCATGGAAATACGTTTGCCTCTCATTTCTTCATTTATCGTGATATCACCTCGAAATTTGTTGTGAGTGATCCTAGTCTGACCTCCAATAGACATGGTCAGCTTAAGTTTGTGGGCGTGGCCTATTTTCTGAATTAGCGCCCCCTAGGACCATTAAAACTGTCAGCCCCAAGCCATGCTTTGACTGAGGATTACGAAATTTGGTACACCAATGTGGTGTCTCAGGACCTACAAAAAAGTCTCTTGGAGCCAAGTGCAAAGTCGCACAGGAAGTCGGCCATTTTGGTCCAAGTACTCGATTTAGTGGTTTTCGCACACGTTGTTTGGAGAGCGATGCTCCATCGCCCTTTTCACCAATCGCCTTGTAACTTCTGCTAGATACTCTTAAGATATAGTGGAAAAAATTCAACCGTCGGATTTTAAATAAGTATAAAGGTGTGGGCGTGGCTAAGCCTCAAACTTTGACCTTTCGCCATTACATTACTTGACTTAATAACTCCCATGTGCACGATCAGAACTATATCAAACTTTGTCTGTGTGATCACTGACCACATCTCAAGGCAACGTCATTGTGGACAGCTGACATCACCTAAGCCCCGCCCCCTGATAATAGGAAGTCTATTGTTTTATGGGGAAATGCCCATATTTGTCACCTCTAATTTAGTCAACATGATACTAAGGACATGCCCTGTCTTCATGATGTTGTGATGACCATTCAGATCTGATAGCTTTCCAGATAGGGAGGGGCTTTGATGCCATGGCGAATTCTGGCATGACGCCATGACCTTACGTTTGATCGTAACTGCCACAAACAGCCTCCCATCTGCAGGAGACTGAACATGGCAATCAACAATCATGCCCTTTAGCCAATGAGACACAAACGGTTGGTGAAATTTGTATAATGTCACCACAGCTCCCCCTACACACCATTAAACCTGTAATAACTCCTACAGACGAGGTCGTAACTGCACCAAACTTGGTGGGCTCAGAGGGGATGCTGAGTCAGGGTGAGGTGCGGACGAGGTGATCGTTTGCGGTTTCTGGTGTCGGGGTGGTCGACATTTCTGTTCCGCGGACATGCCCTGGTTCCCCGGGCTGCCGGCCAGGCCGGAGCGGCGCGGAGCTGCGAGGGCCGAACGACGCTGCTTGCAGCTTTAATGTTGATTTTATTTCCCTGTTTTCATTGGTCTCTTTATCCCTTGTTTTACCGATTTGTCTTCTACTTTAATGTTTTACCTTTTTTGCACAATTTGAATTGCTTTTATTTTTGATTTATTCATCATGTTTCACATTTCTCATGTACCACGTTCAACGCCTTGGGCTTCCCGACAGGCGCTTTATAAATAAAGCTTTGATTGATTGATGTGGCATTTCAAAATAAAGTGCAATCAAGTCATTAAGGACTATTTTTACTAATTCCATGGTAATTTCTCAAAAACTGTTTCATTCCGCAACATCAATCGACTTCAATCTTAAGAGTACACATCGAGCACTACATCCTCCCCAAATTTCATGAAGATCTGATGTGGCATTTCAAAATAAAGTGCAATGAAACTAGTCAGTAATGACAATTTTCACTATATTCCACGGCTGATTTCTCAAAAACAGTTTGATTCCGCAACATCATTCCACATCTGCCTTAAAGTACACATAGACGACTACATCCTCACAAAATTTCTGATCTAGTCCTCGATGTGTGTTCTAATACTGAGGTGGAATGATGTTGTGGAATCAGACAGCTTTTGAGAAATTATTAAATTGAATATAGTGAAAATTGTCTCAAGTCATATTTTATTGCACTTTATTTTGAAATGTCACATCAGATCCTAATGAAAGTCGGGGAGGATTTAGCAGTCAGTGTGTACTTTAAGACTGATGTGGAATCAGACAGTTTTTGAGAAAGAAACCATTGAATATGGTGAAAATTGTCTTTATAGTTAAATTTGCACTTCATTTAGACCGTTTTGAGAATGAAACCATTGAATTTAGTGATAATTGTGAATATTTTCACTTTCTTTTGAAATGCCACATCAGATCAGGATGAAAGGGAGGGGCAGGATAAGAATTGCAAAGTAGACAAATGTGTTTATTCTTTTAATTTTAAGTATTTTTAAATAGATAAAATCATAAAACGCAGTTTTATCGTAGACACAATTTTACACAAACTTTGAAATGTGTTTTGAGCGCTTTTATTTTGAAAGACACTCTATAACGAGGACACCGTAAATTCTCTTGTAGTTGCGCCCGTAAAAATCGAAAGACGGCTGGCTAGAAGGCAGTCAGAAAACTGAGGTCCGCTTGCTGGAGATGATCTACACAAGAAAGCAGCTTTCTACACACCTTAAATAATAACAGGACAGGGCCCCGGGCTAAATTATTGTCCCACTCTTTCTCTGCACGAGTCCCGCTGGTGTTTCTTACCTGCTCCATGTGAGCTGCTCTGTGGATCCCAGCTCATATCCGACAGTCTACGCTGACTACCGAGCCCTTCCTCGAACTGGGCCAAGGCTTCTTCAACCTTCGTGATGAGTTTTCTAGCAGTAGCTACTTGCTTGTTGACAAACTCCATCAGAGACTCTCCTGAATACATGTTTAAGCCGTATATATGTCGATGGTTTAACCCAGAGACTCAACATTCACCTCATACAACAAGCTAACCTTGCCAACAGTCCTTTACTTCTTCTTCGTCTTGGTTTTGGTTGGCGCTCGGAGAACAATGAACGTGTTACCGCCACCTGCTGGTCAGGACAAGAACGACACCAAGTGAGAACTTGGAAGTACAAATCCAAAATATAAACTTTCTTTCATTGTAAAAAACAGGGTTCAAAATTAACCTTTATGATCATCACCTTGGATTCCCACTAGCCATTTTTTCTGCAGTCAAAAAAGAGATTATGAATGCCACTGAATGAAGATTTTGTCATTTTATTAACACTGCTGTTGTGAAAAACGCACACATACTGCAATACACACAAGAACATATAAAAAGTGCAACATTGATTTATTTTTTTCTCACTGTATCTCTTCCCTCTGAATCAAACATCCTCATCCTCAGAGCTCTCTGAACGTGTTTCTTTTTCTGAATCTGAGTAAGCATCAGTTTCTTTTGTTGCATTTTTGCGCACAAATTCAGGCCTGCGTCTGCGCAAACTGTCAGCATGCCAGATGTCAATGGCTTTGGTTGGATCAAAGTCTTTAATGTCAGATGAGCACAACTGGGTTTTCAGGAGGTCAGAGAGGGTCTCACCTTTCAGAATCAGAATCACAAAAACTTTATTTATCCCCGAGGGGCAATTAAAAAAAATAAAAATAACAGCAGAGCAGCATAATGTTGGACATACGGACATTGAATAAATAGGCAATAAGGAAGTAATAAAGCAGCAAGAAGATGGATAAAACAGTAAAATATGTAAAAATCACTGAGTAAGTGAATAAAGTGACTAAAGTGTTGTCTGTATAAAAGTTAAATATATGGAGAGCCCAAGGAGAGGGTTTATCAGGGGATGGTCTTATCTGCTGGAGTTAAAGAGCAGAATGGCTTTGGGGACAAAGGTGGCTCCTCCTCTCAGTCTTGCAGGAAATGCAGCGTAGGCGTCGCCCAGAGGGGAGCCATTGAAATGCGGGGTGAAGAATGTGAGAGGGGTTGTGGAGGATTTGGGCTGCCTGTCTCAGGGCTTGTTGATAGAAAACCTGAGCAAGAGTTCTGACAGGCAGGCCCACGATTTTGGAACACACTGATGTAGTGTGTTGCAGTCTGTTCCTGTTCTGGAGGCTAAGAGAGTAGAACCAGCAAGTGATGGAGAAGGTCATGATGCTTTCCAGGAAGGCACAGTAAAAAGTCATCATGACTGAGGAGCTGACTCCAAAGAAGTTGAGCTTCCTAAGGAGATATAACCATTGGTGGCACTTCCTGAGAATCTCCTCTGTGTTAGCAGATCATTTCAGGACCATGTCTTTGGTTTTGCTCACATTCAGTTCAAGTTTGGAGCTGTCACACCACTCTACAAGCTCCTGAAGAGCAGGTCTGTGGTGTTGTGAGGAGCCTGACAACAGTGATAGGAGGACTGTATCATCAGCGTATTTCACCAGGTGACAGTTGGGATGTGTGGATCTGCAGTCGTCGGTGTAGATGTAGAGCGGGGGGAGAGCACACAGCCCTGGGGGGAGCCGGTGGAGGTGGAACGGAGACCGGAGAGACAGTTGTTGACCCAAACTTTCTGAGTCCTGTTGGTTAAAAAGTCCAGTATCCACAGGGTTAACTGGTCATCTAAATGAAATTGGGAGGAAAGTTTAGTAGCCAGGATGTGAGGCTGCAGAGTGTTGAATGCTGATGAAAAGTCAACAAACAGAAGCCTGGCGGAGGAGTCAGGGAGCTCCAGATGTTTGTGGATGGAGTCCAGGATGAAGATTTTTGCATCATCGGCGCCTCTGCGTGTACGATAAGCAAACTGGAGTGGATCCATCAGGGGCTCAGTTGCTCTTACAATGTGCTCTTTTATGATCTTCTCCATGGCCTTCATCACCAAGGAGGTTAGCGCTACAGGACGAAGATCGTTAGGAGACTTTGGGCGTGAACGCCAGTCACTCTTTACCTGCTTCATGACACTGAACCCTCTTTCACAGTCAGCTGTACTTGCAGGGATGGTGAGGAGAGCATCAAAGAGGTAAAGGACGTCAGGACACCGATGGTGCAGCATTCTGTTCACAGTAGGCCAGGTTTTCTCAAAAGTTCCTGCAGAAGGGTCAGACAAAATTACAGTCTAGCAAGCAATAGTTTAAAATGCAACTTTATATATTATTTTAAAGACATAATTAGATTTGTAATGCGCTTTTAACAAATTAAAATCTTACACTATTAGACATTTAGCTTTTCAAGGACTTGTTAAAAACTTTGCCATTTAGGAACATCAATGTTAATTTTTTTCTCTAACATCATTCTCTAAATACCTTGGCTAAATCCTGCTGTGTACAGTTCAGCCTTAACAATTGTCCATTGATCAGGGATCAAGTCCACATCCACTCCAGCAGACAGCAGAAGAGGTCAGAAGTGACTTGTGAGCTTGTTTATCTCCTCATCACCAAAATCTGAGAACAAGGGAAAACATTACTACAAAGTTCAGAAGTTGTCGTAAATCATAAAATGCATTGGCAAGATGTGTCCATCACTAACCGAAACTCGTGTCTGCCTCTGGCCAGCACTGGAAACTGGTCAGTCGCATAGCATGCAGGACACCACTGTTCACATCACTAAATCTCGCAGTGATGCATTGACACAGAGAATCGATCAACTCGTTATTTGCCTTGTTGTGCTGGCCAGCATCAGAAGGCTTCAGAAGGACTCCCTCATATGTGTGTGACAGTGTGAGTGTCCTGTCACAATGTCCCGATTGATCATGCGCCCTGGCTACTTGGCCAAGGGGATGTCCCTTTGGCTGACTGGTTAGAGCGTATGACTCTCACCCGGGAGTCTGGGGATCGAATCCCGCCCGGGCCCTCGTGTCTCCACCTTGCCACATGTGTCTGTGTCCAGCACTGATCTCATCTTAGGCCCAGGTCTACATTTGTGCAGATAGATTGATGGGTGTCATTTCATCCATCCACATATCTACAGTATTTATTTGAAAGCAACATAACCTAAAATCAAAGAATACAATGTAGGTTACATACCTTGACTTGTACTTTTGAATGACAGCTTGAGACTCTGAGCTTCAGCCAGGGCTGACACGGACCTCTGCAGTGACTTGGAGAGGCTGCTCAGTTGATAGATGGTGTCATGGAGAAGGCAGCATAACCTGAGCACCCCACCATCCTTGGCTATGTTGAGGAACCCCTTGGCCTTTGCCCTCAGAACTGCATTGGTGTTCGTGGTATTTTGGGACTACAGACAAACAAACTAAATTATATCACAGCCACAGACCGCATTAAAACTGATGATAGTGAGTATCAGATTTAGAGAACATTGTATCTATCTACACTAGTTTTACTAGAATGTAAATTAACACACCTTTTCCTCTAAGTGGTGGACAAAGCCAACATATCCCCTGAGAAAATGATCAAGTGCATTGAAGAAATGTGGGAGCCACCGGGTTCCACCTATTCTGGTTGGCATCAAAGGCTTCAGGTGGAGCTCCCTGAAGTGATCCTTTAGGCTGGCCCTGTTTACGCCACTCTTATGATATAAGGTGTAGAGTCCACTCAACAGGTCCTCAACTTTCCTGACCATCACATTCTTCCTTATTCCATCCGAAAAGGAGAGTTCAAGCTTATGGGCCATGCAGTGGCACGTAACATCTGTCTCCACGCAGTTTTGTAACAACACCATTGTTTACTCCTGTCATTACAGATGCTCCATCAGTAGTGATGGCAACCAGCTTCTTCTTCCAATCAGTGCTGACTTCACTGTCCAACATACCGCACACAGCTTCAGCTATATTTGCAGCATCTGGCTTTGAGACTGATTTAACCCCAACAAGGTCAACTTTAACTTTTCCTTCACTGGCACTCCTGACATAAACAATTTCTTCTTCCATCACTGCACTGTCCAGGGATCCATCTGACATGACTGACATGAACTTGCCATCTAATAATCTTGTCTTCATTTTTCTCCTCTCATCCTCTGCTATGTAGTGTATGAATTCTTTTGCTTGGTGGTCATTTGTATATGTCTCTCCTATCTTCAAGCCTTTCTTTCTGTCCACCCTAAATTAATCATGTGAATAAAGCCAAAGTTAGTGCAGAGTTCAGTTACTGAGTTCTTTTATTTTTTCTTTTTGAAATCAAGCATAACATTTCATCTGTGTCAGTAAAGGCGTGTCTATCATCACTCTGTATCAGTTTAAATGCACTGATTCTGAAACATGTAAATGGAATGATTGATTTACTTACTCACACATCCATGCGAAGTCGGTGAAAGGCCTTCCCTTTTTTGCGATGGCATGAGCATTTCTAAAAAGAAGCTGCATCTTTTCCAACTCCAAACTTCTGAGTGAAGAGAGACTTTTCCCAGCAACACTTCAACTGGAACTGCCTTAGCAGTCTTCATTTGGAGGCTTTCCTGTTGACTTCGAGCTTTCTCGTGGTCCTTCACAGCCTCGATTTTAAAATTATTAGTCCCCACCACAAAACTGTTAGTTTTGTTTATTTCTTTCGTGTACACTCGGCAAATTTTACAAGACATTACTGCATTTTCATTGTCAAACACAAGCCATTCACGGCCTGTCTGCCATTTACTGTTGAAGTTTCTTCTCTTCGCTTTGCACGCTCTGTCAACACTCTCATCTTCTGCTTCCTTCCTCTTCTCACCTCCTCCAGACGTCTGTCCTAACCACCGCAGCATTTTATCCAACTTTGCCGTCCAGCTCTGATTTTTCTTTGTCTTTGCTCTTCATCACGTATTTTTTGCTTGTGTTTTCAGGCGTTTCTGGTGTCGCGCTCTCATTGGTGATTGGACCAAATTGCACAGCAGACAGTAGTGTGCCTGTGCGCTGCAGCCAATAGGCCTCTAAAACGTCACAAATAGCACACGGTTTACAGTAGTGTCGTGATTCGTCTTCGAGGAGGGAAGGAGGGGGCAAACGACCCAGAGCGTCTCTGACATGAATTGTTTGGTTGCCTCCGGATCACCGGCCAAACTGGCTAGTAATATTTTAACAGTACCCGCCAAAACAATTTTTAACCCGCATTTGGCGTGTTGGCGGGTGTTCATTTCGAACCCTGGTTGTAACATATCATCATCAGAAGTTTCTGTTCATAGGAAACCAAAAATGGCTATAAGCTGACAAACCATTCAAATTAAAGCTGCAATAGCAAATCTGCAAGGAAATCTAGCTTTTAAACACAAACACGGTCACAGAACACTTAACCCATCATCCCTGAGTCACGTCCGGCAGATACCGGAACCAGCATTGCCACAGTAATCAAGAAAGCACTAAACACCAGTCGCCATTACCTAGGTCTAAACATATTTTGTTGTCTGTGACTTCTAATAGTGTTTTTCTTTTTTGGACTCTGGTAGTTTGTCCTAAAGTTCAAGTGGTAGCAGTTGGCTGTTTCTCCTTCTCTTATACTGTTGAGCCAAGAGAAAATCTCACACCAGTGGTGTTCTGCTGCAAAAAAATAAAAATAAAATAAAAAAAGCTCATAATGAGCGGAGGACCCAGGAAGTGCGGCGGTTTGGCAAAAACGACAACCAATACCGTAGATGCTTCAGACAAAGCCATGTTATTGGCGGGGGTTTTTAGACAAATGCAAGAGAACCACAAGTTGTTGTATTTGCTTTTATCGCAGCAAAACATTTATAGCTAAACTATGTTAGATTGTTGTTAAGAGGCATGAAAAAATGTTTTATGCTAGTTTGTTTAGCAGAAAAATGTATTTTTAGAATCTGTTAGTAACTTGTCTTTGTTTTGTCTCCAACTGCTGGCAGATGTTTTGTTTTGCTTTATCATTTAGATATTTTTATGCAAAATCCCAAAAAGATGTAAATGTAAAGGTAATTTTCAGACTAATTTAGTCATTTTTTCTTCAGTTGTTTTGAGGTCTAAATTTGCACAGAAACTCTATTTATACTACATTTTCTATTAATGTTGTATAAATGTCCTTTTCTTGTTTGTGGACATTTTTTAAATGATGAAGTTGTTTGTGCTTCATGCTATTCTATTTTTATTTTAGCCAGTTTGTTACATAGTCTAGCTCATGTCATTATTCAACTTTTCTTATTTTGCTTTAATTTGTGGATTGTTTGCCAGAGTTAGGCACCAGCTCTCCATGACCCGTATGAGGATTAAGTGGTATAGAAAATGAGTGAGTGAGTTTGTGGGCTATTTTTGTGGTTGCATTACCCTTTATAATAGTTAAATTGTCTCATGGGCTGATTGGCTGCACCTGGCGGTAAGGCGTTTCCTTTTTCCTGTTTTCGGTGTTGCACTACGTGTAGCTGTTTGGTGTTTGGGGCTCGCTAAAACTGATTTAATTTCTCTGTACTAGGATATCTCTGAGTTATTGTAGCACATAAGCACGCTAAAACACACATTTTCTGTTGTTCCACCTAGCTTTTAGGGAACCATTTGAGTTCGCACGCAGTTTATTTGGTGTTGAACAGTTTGCTCGTCCAGTTAGCTTAGCCTCAGCACAGCTATGGCTACTTCTGTCTCTGCTTCTCCGTCTCCTATCTCTTGCTCTCTGTGTCAGATGTTTAGTTACTCCTCTGCCTCCTTTAGCAATAATGGTACGTGTAATAAATGTAGCATTTTTGTAGCTTTGGAGGCGAGGGTGTCGGAATTGGAGTCCCGGCTCTGCGCTGTTGAAAAACCCGTAAACAGCCGTAGCTACTTAGCTAGCGCGGGGCTAACTAGCTCAGAACAACCCTGTAGCGATCCTCCGGCAGAACCCGAGCAGCCGGGACCTCAGGCCGGCTGGGTGACGGTACGCAGGAAGCATAGAACCCAACCCGTGGGCCACCACCAACCCGTCCACATTTCTAATAGATTTTCCCCGCTCAGTGACGCACCCACTGACAAGCCGACTCTGATCATTGGCAGCTCCATAGTCAGAAACGTGACATTAGAGACTCCAGCAACCATAGTTAAATGTTTACCTGGGGCCAGAGTGGGCGGCATTAAATCTTATCTGAAACTGCTGGCTAAGGATAAGCGTAAATACAGTAAGATTGTTATTCACGCTGGCGGTAACGACACCCGGTTATGCCAATCGGAGGTCACTAAAATTAATGTTGCTTCGGTGTGCAAGTTTGCCAAAACAATGTGAGACTTCGAAATTTTCTCTGGCCCCCTGCCTGATCGGACCAGTGACGACATGTTTAGCCGCATGCTGTCCTTAAACCGCTGGCTGTCTAGGTGGTGTCCTGAAAACAACGTGGGCTACATTGATAATTGGAAAACTTTTTGGGGAAAACATGGTCTGATGCGGAGAGACGGCATCCATCCCTCTTTGGATGGAGCAGCTCTTCTTTCTAGGAACATGGCCAGTTTTATTAGTCCTCCATGACAACCCAGGGTCCAGAACAGGAAGCAGAGTCGTAGTTTAACACACCCCTCTGCAGCTTCTGTACTGTTACCCACCCACTACCCCATAGAGACAGTGTTCTGCCCACGGCCAAAATCACACAGATTAAATATCAGGCTTAATAAAGCAAATCATGGAAATCTCATAAATATTAGAACAAATTCAACTGAGCAGAAAACTAGAAAAATTAAATGTGAGTTATTGAACATTAGATCTATTTTTTCTAAGACTTTGTTAGTTAATGACTTGATTTGTGATAATCAGATCTCTTTGCTCTCTCTCACAGAATCCTGGCTGCAGCAAGAGGACTGTGTTAGCTTAAACGAGTCGACTCCTTCAAATTATTTAAATCATCATATTGCTCGAAGTACAAGGCGAGGAGGAGGAGTAGCAACCATTTTTCATTCGGACTTATTAATCAGTCCCTTACCAATTAATAGTTCGTTCGAACATCTTATTCTTAGTTTTCCTAATCTAGATTGCAAAACTGTAAAACCACTCTTGTTTGTAGTTTTATATCGTTCACCAGGCCCTTACTCTGAGTTTTTGGATCAGATCTCTGATTTTTTTTATCTGATTTGGTGCTAAATACTGATAAGGTCATTGTAGTGGGGGATTTTAATATTCATGTGGACATTGAGAATGATAGCCTCAATGTAGCCTTTAGTAATATCTTAGACTCAATTGGTTTTACTCAAAGAACACATAGCTCCACCCACTCCTGCCATCATACATTAGACCTTGTGCTGACTTATGGCATAGAGTGTGAGGAAATAACAATCTTTCCACATAATCCAGTCCTCTCGGACCAATTTCTGATAACCTTTGAGTTTTTTATAACTGAGTTCTCGAGACATGAAAGTAAATTTCACTATAGTCGGTCTCTATCTGACAACGCAGTTGCATCTTTTAAATCAACTGTTCCATCTTTACTGTCCTCAGCATCTCAGAGGCATGTAGCAGAGGGCAATATTTTCAGTTCTAGCCCCTCACAAATTGATGGATTAGTTTATCATGTTAATTCCTCTTTACGTGTGGCATTAGATGATGTTGCCCCTTTAAAAAAGAAGGTAATCAGGGACAGGAAGTTGGCTCCCTGGTTTAATTCTCATTTACGAGCCTTAATACAAAACTCTAGGAAATTGGAGAGAACATGGCGCTCTACGCACCATGAGGAGGCCTACCTATCCTGGAAAAATAGTCTTGTGCTTTATAAAAATAAGCTTCGACAAACTAGAACTGCTAATTTCTCAGCATTAATTGAGGAGAATAAGCATAATCCTAAATTTCTTTTCAGTACAGTTGCTAAACTTACACAGAATCATAGCTCTGAGCCATCTATTCCCTTAGCCCTCAGCAGCAATGACTTCATGGGAGTTTTTTACAAGTAAAATGAATTCTATTAGATACAAAATCTTTAGCATCCTCCCTAATGCGATTTATTCCTCCTCAGTAAGAGAGGCAGCATCAGAGGTGACTGTAGAACCTCATCTGTGCTTGAACCGTTTTGATCCAGTTGAGCTTTCAGATTTATCAAAAATATTAGCTTCATCTAAACCATCAACTTGCATTTTGGATCCAATCCCAACCAAATTATTTAAAGAAGCATTTCCTTTGGTTACTGCCCCCACTCTAGATATAATCAATCTATCCTTAGTAAATGGATATGTACCACAGGATTTTAAGGTTTCTGTAATCAAACCTTCACTTAAGAAGCCTTCTCTGGATCCAGATGACCCAGTGAATTATAGACCAATATCTAACCTTCCATTTTTATACAAAGTCCTGGAGAAAATAGTGGCCATCCAAGTATGTGAGCATTTAAACACTAATGCTCTGTTTGAGGAATTTCAGTCTGGTTTTAGAAAGTATCACAGCACTGAAACTGCGTTAGTGAGAGTTACAAATGAGATTCTCATGGCCTCAGATAAGAATCTTGTGTCTGTTCTAGTCTTGTTAGATCTCAGTGATGCCTTTGACACAGTTGATCACAATGTTCTTTTAGAAAGACTTGAACATGTTGTAGGGATCAAAGGAACAGTGTTAGGCTGATTCAAATCCTACCTGTCTGACAGATTTCATTTTGTAAATGTACATGACAAATCGTCTTCATACTCCAGGGTTACTTGTGGAGCACCACAGGGTTCAGTGCTTGGACCAATTCTTTTTACTATATATATGCTCCCACTTGGTAAAATCATTATGGTTGGTTTATGCTTGACGCGTCCGCGAGGTCCACACGGCTCCGCGTGGAAAAGTTGCGTCATTTTGCGTCATTTTAACAACCACGCCCCTCCACGCGCCTCTGCACGGCCCAAAATTTCCGCAACGCGCACCTAGGAAATTTTCTAACCACGCGGACGGTCGGACGTGGAAAAACATGGCGGACCGGCAAGAACTAGTATGGCAGAGGGTCATAAATACAGACATTTGTATGATTCAGCTCTCAAAGATCGCCGTGATCAACATGTTGTTAATAATTCTTGGAGAGAAATAGCTCGCACTGTCGGAAAAGACAAGGATGCTGTTAAAAATGCTGGAATGCCATGTTGTAAACAGTAATTTCTACTTCTACTATGGTGTAGTGTTGGATGCATGCCGTAGAGCTCCATGCTGCCCCGTTCAGTTTGGGAGAATATTGGCTCACCGCAGAGACAAGCCGCATGAACCATAAACGCTGCGAGTTGTGAAGCGCGTTCCAGCCGCCAGCCGCATCACCAAGCGGAAAGTGAATGTGTCAAGCATAAACCAAGCTTTTGACAGCATGGGATAAACTTCCACTGTTATGCTGAAGATACTCAGTTATATTTATCCATTAACCCTGATGAACCTAATCGGTTGGGTAGATTACAGGCTTGTCTTGAGGACATAAAAAATTGGATGACTCTAAACTTTTTGCTTTTAAATCAAGACAAGACGGAAGTTCTCATCTTTGGACCAGAAATCCCGAAAAGGAAATTGCGTAGCCAATCACCTGACCTGAATGGCATTACATTAATCTCCGAGAACAAAGTAAGGAACCTTGGTGTTATCTTTGACCAGGACATGTCATTCAAATCCCAGGTTAAACAGGTTTGTAGGATTTCCTTTTTCCACCGTCGGAATATTGCTAAGATTAGAAGCATCCTTTCCAGGAGTGATGCTGAAAAACTAGTTCATGCATTTATTACATCAAGACTGGATTACTGTAATTCATTACTCTCAGGAAGTCCACAGAATGTCGTTAAAAGTCTTCAGCTTGTCCAAAATGCTGCAGCTAGAGTTCTGATGAGAATTAAAAAGAGAGATCATATCTCTCCTGTCTTAGCTTCCCTACATTGGCTAAGACATCACAATATAACTATAGACACATTACTTTGTGTGTGTGTGTGTGTGTGTGTGTGTGTGTGTGTGTGTGTGTGTGTGTGTGTGTGTGTGTGTGTGTGTGTGTGTGTGTGTGTGTGTGTGCGCCTGCTCTGTCTTCTTGATCCCCAGTGAGTCGTGGAGGATGGCTGCTTATACTGAGCCAGGATTCTCTGGAGGTTTCTTCCTGTTAAAAGGGAGTTTTCCTCTCCACTGTCGCTTTATGCTTGCTTAGTATGAGGATTGCTGTAAAGTCACTGACACTAGTCAGTGACTTGATGCAATTTGCTGGGTTCCTTTTATAGGAAACATTATTTCTGATTGGCTTAATGAACTTACCTGAATTGGAATGTTTATTATGTGAAATGCCTTGAGACGGCTCTTGTCATGATTTGGCGCTATATAAATACACTTGAATTGGATTTAATTTAATCATATTGTCCCCTTTGCAGCGCCCTTAACACAAAAGACAGAAGTTTTGACATTTTAAACAATAACCTCTGAACTTTAGTTACAGCTGCATTTCTCACTTGTGTATACCACGAGCTAAGTGTGATCAGATGGAATTCTTGTGTTAGGTGTGTTTAAAGACCATTCAGCATAACAAACAAGTGGTTTTTCAGGGTTGTGTTTGAGCTATAAAATGTTTAAATTGTTTTTTCATAAAGCACCAAATTTCTGTTGGCATTGATCACATTTCTGACTAATACTGCAGTTTTCTGACAGTCAGACGGATGGACGACAGAAACACAAACACTTCTTGTTTTTGTCCAACAGGACAGGAACGTTATGGCAACATGACCCGGGTGTATTACAGAGAAGCTGTGGGAGCTCTGGTGGTTTTCGACATGACGAGGCTGTCCACGTTCCAGGCTGTCCTCAAGTGGAAAGGAGATCTGGATTCAAAGGTAAGTGAATTTGCTGCAGTAGACTGTTGTGTCCACTTGGGGGCAGACTAGACTCAACCTGTGGCAGCTCCAAGCATGTCTGCTGTTCCACCAGGTCACCCTGAGCAATGGAAGGCCAGTTCCAGCGGTTCTGTTGACCAACAAATGTGACCAGCGTAGTCATGGTTTGTGTCCCAAACTTCCCAAATTGGACAGCTTCTACCAGGAGCACGGGTTTGTTGGCTGCTTCGAAACCTCTGCCAAGGTATGACGCAGCTTTTATTTTCAGACAGCAAATTGGGCATTTGTTTGTGCTTAACCCTCCCACTGTGAGACCCGTGAGGAAAGTTGACCATTGAGCAGGGTTGATGGTTTATCCCTTGGGTCCATGTGGCAGGGGTGAAGAGAGAGCACCACCTCACCCCTGCCACGTGGACCTCAAGGGATAAACCATCAATCCTGCTCAATGGTCAACTTTCCTCGCGGGGTCACCCATAAAGACAGTGGGAGGGTTAAAAGTGTTCAACTTAATGATCAGGTTTGATTCAAATCAGGGGAAAAAAGAACCAACCCTCAAAAAACTAAAACGTGTCGGCGAACCTCTCCAGTACGTGCAGTAGCGAATATCTGCATCCATCTATAAAACACACAGAAGGCTCTGTGATGATTCAGGCATCCCATCTAAAAGGCAGTTCTGAATAAAGAGAAGTACCACCCAACCTTATCATACAGAACCATCTGGAGCACATCTGCTTTATTATCAGAGCAGTAGAGGCTTATCACGATAGAAAAGGCACACAGAAACACCATCAGTCATGGCTCAACCTCTGCAGAACCCAGAGGAGTCAGGACACAGAGCAACCAGGAAGTAAAGCTTGGAGACAACTTCTCTAAGTCCACTTAAATTGCACGAATAATAGCATTCATCTTTGTTTTGGGGATTTTTTATATTATTTTCAATAAAGGGTTAACTTTTTCTATTTTCAAATGAAATAAAAGAATATAGGATCAGATAAGATCTTTTGCACTTCTGGATACCCTTTTAGGTGACACCCTGGAGTCAAACACTGCCCCCAAGTTGCCATAAATAAGAACTGGATGCTGTCTTTGCAAATGTAAACAGTTCTGTTGATTTTATTTTTTCCATCAAAATTAAATAATTTTGCTTTTATTGTCATGAAGAGGAGGGTGTCCTCCACATCCTTCTTTTTTTACTTCTCCAGAAAAATGATTTTCATAAGTTTATTTAAATCATAATAGACATCCCAATAAATCTTGAGCTGCTGTAATATACTAATATATATATATATATATATATATATATATATATATATATATATATATATATATATATATATATATATATATATATATATACACTAATATATATATATATAATATATAAATATATATATATATATATATATTTATATATATATATATATATATATATATATATATATATATATATATATATATATATAATATATATATACTAATATATATATATATATATATACTAATATATATATATATATATATATATATATATATATATATATATATATATATATATATATAATGCTCTTATTAGACTGTAATAATTTGTGGGAAAATTAAAGAATCTACAAAGATCCTGCTGATCAGGAAATAAACTTTTTTATTGTGTCTTTAATTAACATCTTTATCCTCAGAAGTAGCTGAAAGTTGTTTGTTACAACCCTAATGATCCTCTGTTGTCATCTTCACAAACCTTTTTCTCCAGGATGACGCAAACGTTGATGCCATCACGTGTTTGGTGAAGACCATCATAGCTGCAGAGGAGGAGAAATCAACGATTGACACTGCCAGAAGTGACGTTATTATTCTCTCTCGCTTCGACTGTGACAAGAAGGAGAAGGGACTGAGTGGGTGTTCAGGATGCCCCCAAGTAAACCCCAAAACCGAGGAAATTACTAAAAACAGATTATGGATCTGATTATCAGTGGCAGATTTAGCAATTTGGGGTCCAAGGCGAACACAGACATGGGGCCCCTTACACAAAATTTTTGACAATCTTATCTTTAACTGGATTTGCGAAACTCTCCCCTCTTCTGACATGAGTTTTTTTCTCTTTTTATTAGTCCTCCTCTTTTTTCCTGTATTTCCCGCCCTTTGAGCGCTTTTAATATTTGCTCTGCTTTCTTTTTCCTGTCAGGGCTCCTGTGCTTTAGCCTTAGTTTTTTTTTTTCAATTTTCCATTTTGGTCTATGTTTTCCTCCCCTTAACCATTTTCCATTGTTTTTCCTTTCTGCTTCCTTTTGATGTTTACATCGAAAAACAACGTCACTTTCAGAAGTGAAAATAAAAGCTTTTATGAAGCAAGCTGCTTCTTTCTCTTATTGGAGCCACTAGGATAACTCCATTTCATGCTTAATGTTTTGACTATCGCTTTGAGTTTGTTACGAATGCTCCCGCCTCTCTTCTTCTTCTTATTTGTGGTTTTATGGCACTTGGCAAACAACAATTTGGTGCATTACCACCACCAACTGGATTGGAGTGGAATGACTACCGATAACTTCCTGGTTGTGCAACGCTGTCTTAATAACCCTTTTATGACCATAATTATAACAGGGCCGCCTGGTATTTTTTAATCTTATGGCTATAAAATTGTAATAAAAAGTGCAACGTGTGTGTACCTCTTCTCCTTTTTCCAGAGCAACCTCAGCTTTCAGTGTATGGTTTGTATTTAGAATTTATTTCTATTAAAGCCTTTAAAAAATCTGCTTAAAAGTGAAAAAAGCAAAAAACGGATTTGAATTTTTTTTACATTTATTACTGAACAGGAACTTCAAATTTCTGGGCAAACAATTTGGAATGAACAATTTAAACTTTGAACTGTAATGCATCTATTCTTAAAATAGTGTGAACCTTGGTATCTTTTTTAGCTGTTTTTAGGACCATTAATTTTTGTAAACTTTCAGACGTTTTTATTTGATGTGGTAGGCCTTTAAGCAGTTTTTCTCCAGCTGCAGGCAGAGTCCCACTCTGCACACCTCTTAATGCCATGGGTGCTTCTCTTGCACACCGTGCACTGCTATACCAAAAACTTTTGTTTTAGCAAAAATAAATATTTATTGTAAAAAGATAAATAATGCTGGAATGAAGTTGAATCTTACAGTTAGCAAATAGTTGAGGGGTGTTAAAATTTTTTTGCATTTGGTAGATCCCTTTGGCTGATTAGTTAGAAAGTAGGAAATCTAGGAAACGGGTTTTCTGGAAGACGGAGAGAACATGCAGCATGCAGGATGGTTAGAGAGAGAAAGGGCAGGAAATTATTCAAATAAAATCAAGAAAACAAAACAAAGTGCTTGAAAAGAAAAAAGTAGGTAGATTTATCCCCAATACACATTTTTACCAGTGAAAAGCAATAATATACATAAGCATTTTAATATTTATACATGTGATAGAATCAGATCACCCCAGAAGTCAGTCCCACATCCAGGACCGTATCAAGGCATTTGGGGACCAAGGCAAATATAGGCTTGGAGCCCCCACCACCTTACTCCCGGCTCAGTTAATATAAGATGGCAGCGTGCTGAGAGTACAGATTGTTGTTGCTTTCATTTAATAAACAATCATTTTAAAGCACTGTTATTATATCTGACTGTTTTTAACAGCAATCCTAGCTCAGACACCACATCACCTTCCACATATATGTCATGAGCTCACTGAGCATCAGATTACCAGATTCATATTGAAGTTGTTTTGGTGAAAGTTACTTCAAGTAATGCAAAAGTAGTGTAATGCCTTACATTTTAAAATCAGTAATATTGTAATGTAATTAATTACTTTAAAATGAGGGTAACAAGTAATAAATAATGCATTACAGTTTTGAAGTAACTTGCCCAACACTGTTGACCTACATGCCACCGGTCATGTGCAGACATAATTCCATTCTCTAAAGTGGATTTTAAATTCTATCTTCCAACAAGCCAGAAGGATACTGCAGTGCTTGTTGACATTTCAGGGGGGACAAGATGTAAGCTTATGTTCCCAAACAAAGCTTTCTTTTGATAAGACTGCAGGATTGCACACTCTCATGAAAGGATTAACTTTCATAATTAAGTCATATAATGAAATGAACAATATGAGTTAACTAATCATATAATGAAATAGACAATATAGTTAAATGAAATGTTTTGGTTAATCAGTGCTTATAATTGATAAGGATGAAAGTAATTGCATGCACATAGATATTTTCTTATGCACAAATCAGAGCATCTTTTGTATCTGGAAAAGGCGTGTGTTCTGAGGTTTGTTTGTTAACACCTCTTCACCTCTTTTGTCCTGATTGGCCATGTAATCATAATATGGGAAAATTAAAACAGAATCACTTGCTGAGTGATTCAGTTAGTTTTTGAGCAGAACTCCGGACTGGCCACCGGAAGAAACTCTCTAACCACCGCATCTCTTGACAAGCTGTCAAAACCTGTTGCACGCATAAGCTGACACAGCAAACGGTTCCTACAGAACAAAGCTGACACAGTTCTTGTCATGAGGCAGTGGTGAGGACCCAAGATGCTGAACCCAGGATGACAGGAGGCAAGGATGATGATAAAGTAAAAGTTCTTTATTTTTAGGTGAGCCAAAAACCAAGAATATCCAAGCTGGAAGCCAAAAATCCAAATTCCAAAAACCAGGTAAATATCTGGGGATCAAAAACTCTGGAATAAACACAGAGGGCCGAAACTGACAGAACTACAAACAACATTAATGGACCGACACAAGACAGAGACAAGACCGGGCTTAAATAGACTGGGAGACAAATTAAGGAAACAGGAAGCAGGTGTGTGGAGTGAGGGCTGGTGGGAAGGCAGGTGAAACTAATCAACTCAATGGGGAAAACAGAAACAGAGGAGGGCAAATACCTAAACACAAAACTAAACAACAATTACCTAAAGACAGAGGGAAGGACTCACACAAACTAGCTGGAGGAGGACATAGCACATACACCCACACACACTGAGCTGGGGACAACGAGGCTGGCGCTGACCTGGGAGGAAAGAGTAGAAAAGATAACATAAGACACTAAACTGACACGCAGAAAAAGGACACATGAGGGCGCCAAAGGGCTACAACATAAGACATAACAGGGATGCAGACAAGGACACATGAGGGCGCTAAGAGAGCACAAGGGGGGAACCTGGAGTGGAGCACAAGAGGAGCTGGGGAACAAAGGGACACAAGAGGGAATCTAGAGAGGGATGGAGGACACCAGGAGGCACAAAAAAGGAAGGGGCTGACGCAGACCATGACAGTTCTGACTCCTTAAGAGTCCTTCATAGATGCAGACAACTACCTGTTGTGACCTGGAGACAACTCAAAGACCTGTGCTGCAGTTTCTCCTACGGACCTCGGTGCCATGGAGTCCATGGACTTCGACTCATTCCGGATCTACCCTGGGGGTCTCAGAAAGGGTACGTATGGCATGACAGATTGCATCTGATGCCGTTTTATAAACCATCACTTATAGTTTAATGCAGACCAAATTCTTTTCACACCCAGAACTCAGTTTCTTCTAGATACGAGGTTCTGATAAACACACACCATTCAATCATCATACATCACATTCCATCCATTTATATTCATCCATCACATTCGTCTTATTTATAACTTATCTTTTTTTAAATTTCTTTAGAAGATAAATTTCTTACTTTTTATAAACCTGACTTTGTCTGAATTAATACGAAATGTGTTATGATCACTGAAAAAGCAACAAATCCTAATTCTTTTGATTAAACATTCAAAGACCAATAAGGTTGATATCCTATATTTATATAGAATATCACATCTTATTGGTCATAAGTAAAGGTAATATATTAAGCTTAAAAGCAACAACATATTACCCCTTCTACATTGCCATTAGTAAAGTGTTGTGGAGATAAAGTAAACAATGCTAATTTAGCCACTGGTTAGCTGACGAGCGCTGGAGCGTGTTGGGAGAGATGGCAGGCTGCAGGAAGAGAGGAGACTTGAGTAGAAGGACTTTGGAACGGACATGTTGGGACTGGATCGGGAGTTCTGTTACGAAAAGACAAATGAACAACTTGAGGTGAGTTTGGGAGTCAGAGACACTAATCGGAGGCTGACGTCCAGCTAATTGCAGGCGGGGATCCTAACATATGCAGCTTTCTTGTGCTGGACATGATGACGGACTGACAAATTATATGTGTCTTTTGATTTAATTGTTTTGTTATTCAAACTAACAAGTACAGCAACGGTGTAGCTATTCTTTTTTATTTTTTAGTTGAATTAGCAGACTTCGTGCTTCCAGCTACTGTATTTTAAGATGGTGGATGACCATAGAGCACTGACCACAGTTTATGTATATAAAAATGTATAATTTCAAGTTGAGAGGAATATTTAGAATTGATGTTGGTGAGAAATATTAGTGAAAAACGACAAGTTTGTTAACTGGAAACACAGGATTTATAGTAAGAAGGTAAAAATATCACACACTGGGCCTTTAAGGAGAAGTTGAACAGGTATTCCTAATAATGCTTTAGGTGAGTGTAGGTCAACCTCACTGAAAACATTTTATTTAATGATTATTTCTGATTATAATCGGTCACTCTGAGTTTTGCATGCAGGCTGAACATGAAAATAGTCTCCTACAGCTATCTCCTGCATTAGCTTCTGATAGAAAATAAACGGTGATACTCTAGGATATGAAATGCCTGATAGATGTGACTCAGGGTGTAAGTCAAAGCCCAGAAAGACAAGAAAATAACTTTTATAACCTAGTTCACTAACATTAATTTTTATTTTATTTTTTATCGGGGACCCATGAGCCAACCAAAAGGGGAGGAGACTTAAGGTCCCCATTAGCCAGATCCAGGTTTGATTACCAACGTGGACGTTTTAAATAAAAGCTGTTTTCATGTCAGTACTGTTTTATTTTTATTTAATAATATGAATGTAGGATATATCATCTTATACATATGGGTAGAGATGTGTAAACAGATTTAATACGAGACTAAAGCTGTGAATATTCAGTCTGAATTGATCCGACTCTCATCAGAATATTTTAAACTACATCAGCCAACAATGCTGACCAACAATCTGAAAAATCTGTTTGCTTCTGACAGAATGAAAAAAGAAATAATTCACTCACAACAACAGCTGGAACTAAATTATTATTCAGATGGCCAAAAGAAAAAACAGTGGCCTAAATTGCAGTCTAAATGCACCAGAATGCAGAGTTTAACACTTGCTTTTTCAAATATTTCTAAGGAAGCATGTACAAATTTTATTTTATTCTTATGCCATATTGCCAAGCCCTACTTGTTATGGGATTAAATAAATGTAACTGTGTTAACTTA